AATTTGCTATTTACAGAAGAGAACGCAATTTAGGATGGGAAGGACGAAATCCAATCCAACTAGAGGTCGACAGTCATTCGGAGAGAAGTTTATGAGGTTCGCGCAGTCAAGCCAGCACTGACCAAGAACAGGCTACAATACAATCATTCAAATCTCCAATTCGAATGCAACTTGGAAACATGGAAATGAATTTGATTACATCTGCTCAAAGGTGAATAGGACAGTCGGAATGCATTCACTAGTGTAACTTAAGGTCGACAGTAATTCGAAGAGAAGCCGAGACGATTCGCGCATTCAGGCCAATACAAATCAAAAACAGACCACAATGCAATCATTCAAATGTCACTTTCATGCGCGATTTGGAAAATAGAAACGAGGTTGATTAAATGTACTCAACAGTGAACAGGACGGCCTGAGCGTATTCACTAGCGTAAAACAAGGTCGACAGATATTCGGGAAGAAGTATATGGGATTTGCAAAGTCGAACCGAAACTGCCCAATATTAGGCTACAATACGACACTTCAAATCTCCTATTCAAGTGCAATTTTGCAGCATGCAAACGAGTTCCGTTAAATCTACTCAACTGTGCCCATAGTCGTCAGGAAAATACTCACTAGCCTTACTCAAAGTCAACGGTCATTTGCAAGGACATCAATCCGATTTGCTCAGTCAAGCCAAAAGTGATCAGAATACGGCCGCAAAACGATGCTTCAAACCTCAAATGCAAGTGCAGTTTACCGGCATGAAAAATTTTAGTTAAATCTACTCAATTGTGTCAATGGAGGTCGGCAATGACTCACAAGCCTAACTCAAGGTCAACAGACATTCGGAGCGGCGTCAATGAGACCTGCTCAATCAAACCAATATCAAACAGGAAAAGGCCCCATTGCGGTCCTTTAAAACTTACATTCGTGTGCAATTTGCAAGCCTGGAAACGAATTTTGTTATATCTACTCAACTGTGCCCATGATAGTCAGAAAACTAGTCACTAGCCTAACTCAAGGTCAACTGCCTACCTTTATTCTTTCGTCACTAACACTCCCCTTCCACTATTCTTTGCATCGCATTAAATTAAAACTATCAATTTTCGTCTATCAAGTCAATTAGTTTGAATGGATGTGCTAAAGGGCGCCGCAAAAGGTTCTGGAGGAAATTTTGTGGGAAGAATGTGTGTCACATATACGTGACGCCAGAATAACACCCCAAACTGCAGCAATGGTAGGTCAGCCAAAAGAGATGCACATTTTGTGAGTGTTAAGGGACCAATAAGCTACCTGGGAGGTTGCCTGTTTGGTCTTGCAACTATTCGGCAAAAGTATTCGCACAAATTATGCCTTATGGCGAGTCACAACGATTTCAAAACTGCAAAAACCAGCTGCGAGTCCAGTCCACGGAGATGTCAAAGGGTTTCAAGGTTCAAACTACTACTCACGCCTTCAACATCAACAATAAGGTGCATTTGAGACGCACACAGAAACCACTCGATGCATACCGTTGTTTAGAGAGAGCTCTTCAATTGGTGAGTGACCAGATTCCACAAATCAAGGCATGATTAAAGTCACGACGAATAGTATTTCCAGCACCACTGGTACCATTCTATCGGGAATACTTACGTCGTCATTAAAACAAGAAGGGCTCAATCACATGACTACAATATGGCTTTAAAAGACTCGCTGATGCAAGAGACAACTAAGCAACTCATAACACGAAGAAATACACCCTTTCAACATACCACGTAAAGTGATGTAATGGAAGACGGGGAGACAAATTAAGGCTCTGATAGTCTACACGTCGAAAACTTGATCAGCTTATTTTAAATGGATAAAACATATTCTTGCACGGGGGAAGCAATCCATACAAAGTGAGCAGATTTCCATGAATGACCCAAAACGTGGGTTATTAAGACAAACAAACTAAACGTATCCGTGAGTCATTGACAGCCCACCTTCCAAGGGATGCTAATCTTCTCAAGGAAGAGGTCGTGCAATTGTTGTCTGACGGAGTAGAGACTGACGAAACGCTCCGTGATTATGCCGCCCCGGGCACGGCGAACCCAGTGCCGATGCAGCTCATCGCCGGAGTTGGACTCCTTCACATTTGTACTTTGAGAATGACCGCTACGATTGAAGAGCTGTCGTCGGATAACTGCAATTATTTATGTTAGATACAAACTAAGTAAACTAATTAACTAAACGCTCCAAAAATATAATCCGTGCAACAAAGAATGTAGTAGATTCTTGGGAGGGGAAGAGGAAATATGAAAAACGAGAAGTAAGGGTAAGCTGACCTGTAATAAGAGTCGGAACCGAGTACGAGGCCGACCACGTAAAGGACGGTGGAGAGCGCACGACCGTAAGCGTTGGGAGAAACATCGGCGCGGTCCTTGAGGCCCATGGCAACATCCACCTTGGCACTGTCCTTACTGCCGAACCGAAAAACCGAAGAGCGTAGCAATCACTGCATGTGCATGACTGTGCTACTGAAATGGAAAAGTGGAGAGGTTCCATGTGCTCTACGGTTACGATTCTGGTAAAGGCAGTGTGGGCCTGAA